TCTCACATGGCCAACTCCACAGTTTGAATCCTGGACCTGGTGGTTTGAAAATCACACTGTGCACATATGTGTGCGCCCAAAATCCTGAGAGGAGAATGGAGAAGAAGGGACCACAGCGTGGTTTTCCCCTGGGCAATGCTTTCTCACTTTACCTCTGTCTCTCTCTCCGGTGATCACACACGCCCTATACTAAAAGCTGAACAAAAAAGAAGAAGAAGAAGAAAGGAAAAATGAGGTGAAAACAGCATCTACCTCACAGGGCTGTTACTAGCATTCTGTGAGTCCTTGTCATGGTGCCTGGCGCGGGAGCTGCGTGTCGGACTAGCGCTCTTGGCAGCGTCTCCATCACCTTCATCGCCATGGTTACTGTACAGAAGAGCCCCATCTCCTGTCGGGAGACCTGCAACCTAGTCCTGACTGCTGTCCTAAGGCTGCAGGGCCCGAGACAAGTCACGCCCCTTCTCTGGGTTTCCTCTGACCGGCAGCTCCCAGGACAAACCGGGCCTGCACCCTGGCCTTCACCAGATGGCTCAGTGTTTAAAACGCCCGGGCTTTTATTCTCCTTGCAATCTGTTAGGCAGAGGCATTTACTCCAGATCACCAGGGTCCCTTTCTCACACTCATCTGCCAGCCTTATCGCTAAAGTGCCCTCAACCCAGAACCGATAGGCTCCAAGCCTGTGCATAACCCCCGACAGTCTCCCCATCACCTGGCCACCACCACCACTCCCCCCACCCACCCACCAAGACCAGGTTTTGACCTGAAGACATCCCATACCGTCAGCTTGTGGTTGACCACACTGTTCATTGCAAAAAGGACCAATGCCATAGTGGGGACAAGGCAGAAAAACCCCAGCTGCCCCTCTCCTGACATCCCTCAGATGCCTAAGCCTTTCTCGGACACACATCTCAGGATCAGCCCCACCTAGGTGGACTGTGGCCTCCCCGAGCCCCCATGGAAGACCCCAGAACCACAAACCCACCACAGACCCTCCTGACCAGCACCCTGCAGAGCGGCACTGCCACACGAAAGCTGAGCCCCAGGAGCCCCATCTCCACCCAGGGATGTCAACTCCGCCCCCCCAACTGGGCTAGCTGTGGCCAAGAGGGAGCAGAGAACCCTAGTGGGGAGGAGTCCCTGGGTTACCTGCTGAGTGGGGAACTGCACCCCCACCCCAGCCCTTGGCCCAGCTCCTGCCTCAGCTGGGCTGCCAGGACTCTGTCCTGGGGCAGCTTCCTGCCTCTCGGGAACACAGGAAGCCAACATTGTTGGGATCTAAATGGCCTTTTCCTCCTGGACTTGGGTCGGAAAATAATCACACAGCCTTGTTCTGCACCTGACCTCAGCGACAGCCACTCACATGCCGGCCTGGCCTCCGCGTCTTCTCTGGCTGACCAAGAGGCACCGCCACTGATCCCCACCTGCTCAACAGGCCACTCAGCCCTGCCTGCCTGCTCATCTGTGGCCTGGGCTGGAGGTCTGTGGTAGGTAATCTTACACGTCCTTGTGTCTAAGCCACAGAATCCAGATACTTGGCCAAACATTATTCTAGATGTTTCTATGAAGGTATTTTTCAGAAGAGATGAACACTTATAAAATTTTTTTAAAATCACTGTTTAGGGAGCCAGCAGGTGGTATGGTGATTAGGGCACTGGTGTCCCACATGACCAACTATGGTTCAAGTCCCAGACCTGGCAGCTTGCTTTCTCACTTTTCCTCTCTCTCTTTCTCTGTCTCTCTCTGGTCAAATTAAAAAATAATAAGAACAATGAATAAAATTAAGTAAAAATAATCCTTAAAAAAGAGCTCCTATGCATCCCTCAAAACCCAGCCTGCTCAAGCCTTTTCTGCTGACCTTTTCCAAGGCCCAAGCAGTGAAGTGACTTGTCCAAGGTCACACAGGCTCTGAGGGGCAGGACCAGACTACTGCCCCAGCCAATGACAAAGTCCCTGCACCTCTGGGCCTCCATTGTCTCGTCCATCTCTGGCTCCCTCCCATGAGGACCTAGTCCCTAACCTTAGTCCCTGTCTCACTGTCACATACGGGACATCAGTGTTGCTCACAACAAGCCCCCAGGAAAGTGGGACAGGGTCAACTGCTGACCCTACCGCAGGCAGAAGAAACCGGCGAAGAGAAGGGCAGGCCCAGGCCTTGCCAACCCCCTTTGCCTGTATGTCCATCCCATCTGTGTGTCCCCACTGCCTTGGCGCCTTGTCAGCCTCGTCATCTCTGAGTCTCCCAGAACCAGGACTGGGCCCCAGTTCTTTGGCTCCCTTCCCCCACCCCCTTGGGCTATATTACATTAAACATGAAGTGCAGGAGGAAGGGGAGTGGAAGGACATAAACACTCCGGGACCAGCAGCAGGAGGAGCGGGGACAAAGGCCCCCACGTCAAGATTTAGGAAAGTCTCCTCGCTGCCCACTGCCTCCAGCAGACATTCCCTCAGTGCGGCAAGGCCTGTAGATTATGAACTTGAGCCTGGTATCCTGGACATCCCATCCCACCTGTCACCATTCCCTAGCCTCTGATCCACCAATCCAAAGGGTGGCCTTGTGGCCAGAGAACAGAGCGAATTGTTTGGGCCAGACTCAGTACATAGAATGTAGACTCGATTCCCCACACTTTCCTCTTGGGTGGGGAACCACCCATGCAGTCACATCCGGGCCCGTGGATGGATGGATGGATGGATGGATGGATGGAGAAGGGGGGCTGCCACCTCACACCACCATGGCCTCCTGGCTCCAGGACACAGGGAGTTGGTCCACTCCTGCACTCCCAAGCAGGGCACCCATGGCCTAGGCCTGGTGACCCCAGCCCTCTTGCTGCGGCTGACTTGCAGCCTGGGAAGCCAGTTAGGTATTTTCTCTTCTGTGCTGTTAGGCCTGGGCCCTGGTCCTTCTGCAGCCCAGCCCTGCCACCTAGTGGTGTCTCTGGAGTAAAAGTAGCCCTGGCTTTCTTCCCTCTCCCCATCAACTCCCCACCCTCCCTGGCACCCAAGCAGAGCCACCAAACCAGCCTGGCCACTCACCCATCCTTCCCTCTGGTTCACACCAGCAGGGCCAGGCTGGAGCCAGGTGAAACCAGGGCCATCTCGCCCTCACCTTGGGAGCCTGCCATTCGCATGGGGCCAAATGCCCTCTGGACCTGAGCCCTCAGGCCAGGCCAACTGGGAAACAGAACACGGAGACCAAGGCAGAGATGAGCACAAGGTCACAAGGTGAGCGTCCCAAGACCTCCTGCTACCGCCAGCCCCTGCGGCTTTCTACCCTGGCAGCACTGGGGGCCCCTGAGGGGAGGGAAGGAAGGAACCTATGAGTGGGGAGAGAACCAGAGGCTCACTTCTGCAGTGTCCCTGCACAGGGCAGCGTGGGGGCTGTCATGCAGACAAAACGCAAAATCCCACCACCCTCAGCAATTCCTCTCCAACTTCTCCCCGTGGTTCCCACCTTAACCCTAAAATCCCAGGCAGACCTCTTGGGAGGAGAGTGACACCATGTGGCTTCTTTTGGTATTGCAAGAGTTTCCATTGGTCCTGGAAACGGGCTGGGTGTCCAGTGCCCTTTGCCCATGGCAGTCCTTGGAATGCCCTCTGCATACATTCACACACACTCACTCACTTGCACACTTCCAGCTATTAACACCTAGCTGAAACAACTTACCTTCTCTTTTCTACCCCGACCCCACACATACCCTGAAAAATCCCACTTGACTCAGCCAGCTGTGTGCCTTGGCAACAGACATGACTGCGCTCAGCTTCGGTTTCCTCCACTGTAAAGCCGGGATGACCCCAGTACCTTCCAGACACTAACAGCACTTGGTACTCAGGAAGGGCATCCCAGCCCCACTTGGACCTTGGCATGGAGGGAGAAGAGGAGGAGAGAGGACCAGGCAGCAAGGGCCTTGTGAGCAAAGGCTCCAAGCAAGAAAGAGTGCAGACTTGTCAGTGTGTTTGGCACACTTGGCCTGTCTGGGCTCCAAGCAAAGTGCAGCTGGTTTGAGTACGGAGTTGGCACCCGGATGGGGGCCCTGGGGCAGAGAGCCGGGCAGGGCCTACCCCACCAGGCCTTGCAGCCATGGAAGGGTCTATGCTTTGTCTCAAGGCTAGTGGGAACTCCAAAGGCTCCAAGCAGGAAACCAGCGTAGCCAGGTTTCTGGGTTCAAATCCCATGAAAGCTAGCGGAGGAGGATTGCAGACGCTGGGCCAGGAAACAGGGAAAGGCCAAGGGCTGCTATCAGTCTTGGTTGACAGGTGCAGCCTGAGCTGGGTGGGAATGAGGCTGAGGAGCTCACTGGCTTGAGCTGTACAGGGAGGCCCTGGCATTGGGATTAGGAGGGGAGCAAAGGAGAGGAGCTGGTCAGTCACTGAGATGGGGTGCAGGGGCCTCCTGCTGCTTTCATGGTGTGTCATGGACAATACAGACTTCTCTGGCCACAGTGACAGCCAGTCCCAGGCTGTTCCAGGAGCACATGAGAACAGCAAAGGGGAAAGCTGGGTGGCCAGCAAGGCCTCCACCGAGGCTGATCTGGGACCTCTCAATGTCACCCCCAAGGGGCTGCAAGGGAAGGAGTGTGGCTTGGCTTCTTTGCTCCCAGTGCCAGGCTCACAGCACCACACACCTTTCACACACCACCCCGCACCAACCACATGCCACCCATATCCCACCACACACTTCAACCACATGACCTCACTGTCATCCACAAATCCTCCCCACAGCTTCCACACGCCAACTACACACCTTCAACATGCCCTCTGCACGCCGGCCACATGCACACATACCACCTCATGCCACTCATGCACCATCTGTACATCATCCCTATCCTTTCTTCATGAGATTTGTCCCATGCCTGCCACACACACCTGCATGCTTGCCATCCAGTGAGCTCAGCACCCTTTGCCAGACGGGCACGATGCACCAGATCAGGACCCCAGCAAGACAGAATCCCAGCTTGACCCCGCCAATATGCTCCCCACCCCCATGGCCCAAGCCAAGTGCTCACCTTTGCAGGTGCAGCCCTCCCGGGTGATGACCTGGCGGCAGATCCCACAGGGCTTCACCTTCTTGAAGGTCTTCACCTTGAAGTGGTGTGTCTTGGGGGCCTCTAGGTCCTCTGGCTGTGGGAGGAGAGGCACAGGGGTCAGACCGGGGCATAAGGTTGAGGTGCTAGGGGAGGAGTTGGGGGTGCTGGAGAAGTAGGAAGGGACTGTAGGAATGGCCAAAGGAGAGAACAGTGCCCAAGGACAGAGAAAGATGTGAGGGTGACAGGATGCTCATCCCAGACCTCCAAGCGTTCGTGGGGTCAGAGGAATGGATCCGGACAGCACTGGAGACACCAACACCCAGGGATCCAGTCCCCTCCATGGCCTCCCACCATTGCTTTCCCTTTATTTACTTTGTTATTAACACAGGACACAGTAACGTGTGCTAATTTTAATGTATTGCTTAATGAGATGTCACACGTGTGCACACCAAGTGACCGTACCCCAGGAGGCTCCCTCATGACCCCTCCCAGTCAGAGCCTCCCAGAAGGAAGCGCAATTATGACTTCTACCACCAAAGAATCATTTTGCCAGATTTTTTTTTTCAGTTCTGCTATAGGGCATGTGTGCTCACCAGAGAAAGATGGGGGTCAGAGGGGTGAGAAATCACCTCCAGGAGGGATGGCCACACCACAATCCCTTCTCCGTTCTCCTTTTGGGATTTTGAGCACACACACACATGCACCAGCATATTTTTTAAGCTGCCGGGTCCAGGACTCAAATCACGTAGTTGGCCATGAAGACAACCACCACACACCTGCTGGCTCCCATTTTGCCAGATTTTTAAACCTTAAAGGAAGGGAATTATACAGGGCCAGTCCCATGGCCTAATGGTTGAGGGAGCTGGATCCCATGTGGCCAATTGCGCAGTTAAACTCCCAGCCCCGATAGCTTGCAAAACACGCCAGGTGCATGCGTGCCAATGTCTAACGGGATGGAGAAACGGGGGAGAAAGGACCGTGCTGCGACCACGCCCCGCTGGAGGGCGCCTTCTCCTCTTTTTTCTGTCTCTCTCTGATGAGTGCATGTGCCCTCCAACATATGGACAACAACAACAACAAAAGTGCTGGGAACATGTCTTTAAAAATTAATAATTGGGGGCCAGCACTCTGGGTACACGTGCATGTGCGCTCCAAAGCCCAAGCTACCATCTGACCCAGTAATCCCACTCCTTGGTATTTACCCAAAGGACAGGAAAACACTTGCACATCCATGTTTATTGCAGCATTAGTCCTAATTGCTGAGATATGGAATCAACCTAAGTGTCCAAAAGCTTATAGTCATCAGGTTGAAAAACTGTGGCCCACGTACACGAAAGAATACTACTCAGCTATAAGAAACAATGAGACCCTATCATTCGATTGAAAGTGGATGAATATAGAAGACTTAATATTGAACGACGTGAGTCAGACTTTTAAAGATACGCTGTATATCCCCACTCAATATGTACCAAATATCTGCACTCTATCGAAGATGTTGAAAGATCTAAAGACATGATAGTAGAGAGAATATGTGTAGAAAGCAAAGACTGCAAAGGAGGGGAGTAGGTGGAGGAGAGTGAGGCCAAGTGTGAGGAGCAAAAAGAAGAAACATTTAATGGACCAATAAATAAAAAGTTCTCAGTAGTAAAGTAGTGGAAACCAGCAGTTAGCGCAATGACTATGTCGCTGGACTCCCACGTAGTTGACCGCGGTTCGTATCCCAGACCCAGTGGCTTAAAACTCACGCCGGGCGCATGTGCGTGCGTGCCCAAGATCCTGAGAGGAGAATGGAGGAGAAGGGATTGCGGCATGACCATCCCCCCGGGGGGTGATTTCTCGCTTTCTATCTCTATGTCTCTCTCTGTCTGTCTGGCGAGCACACGCACCCTATAGCGAAAAACCTCTCAAAAAAAAAAAAAGTAGTATAGTAGTATATGAACAGTAAATATCATGATGGGGACTTTATGTAAACTGTGAAATTAATCTGAAATTTAAAAAAAAAAAATCTTAAAGGGAGGTCCAGCCAATGGCATGGTAGTTAAGGCAACTTGATCCCACATGACCAACTGTGTAATTCGAGTCCAGGCCTGAATGGTTAGAGAAACATGCCAGCAGCATGTGCATGCATACTGGAAATCCTGAAAGGAAGGTGAGTTGGAGGAGAAGAGATGGCAGCATGACCATCCCCCATGGGAGTGCTGCCCTCACTTTCCCCCTCTCCAACTCTCTCCAGTGAGTGCACACACTTTCTAGCAAATTTTCAAACAGAGAGACCAAGGCACAGAAACAAAGAAAGGCACACACACAGTGAAACAGAATCAGGGACAGAAACCCAGAGAGGCAGAGAGAGAGAGAGGCAGAAGAGGAGGGAGAGAAGAAGAGGGGGATAGAAAGGGGGGCCAGGGACAGAAAAAGACAGAGGCAAGTGACAGACAGACAAGGAGGGGGAAAAGACCAAGGTAAAGGTGGAGATAGAGAGAGGCAAACAGTCACACACAGGAAGTACAAGAGACAGAGACTCAAGAACAGTAAAGAGGGACCCAGAGGATCAAAGAGGGCAGATAACAAAAGGATACAGAAGTTCCCAAAGGCAGGACCAGCAGTTAGCGTAATGGCTATGTCGCTGGACTCCCACGTAGTCGACCGCAGTTCGCGTCCCGGACCCAGTGGCTTAAAACTCATGCCGGGCGCGTGTGGGTGCGTGCCCAAGATCCCGAGAGGAGAATGGAAGAGAAGGGATTGCGGTGTGACCATCCCCCCTGGGGGGTGGTTTTTCACTTTCTGTCTCTTTGTCTTTCTCTGTCTGTCTGGCAAGTGCACGCGCCCTATAGCGAAAACCTCTCCAAAAAAAAAAAAAAGAAGTTCCCAAAGGCCAAACCTGGGAAGATCTGAGGTTCCAAGTACATAATGATAGTACCAGTAATGGCTCCGCCAAGTCCATACTGATGTGGGAAATAAATGGATAAACAGAAAGCTCGAGAAGAGACAGGATATTTACAGAGTCTCTAAGCACCTCTGCACAACACCCTTATAAACTACAACAAGGAAAAGAAGGAGCTTTTCCTGGCAGGCTCCGCTGTAATCATGGGATGAACGTTAGCACCCCCCGTAATGTCACGACTGGAAGTCACACACCACAGAGGGTGCACAGAGAACAGAACATCACTTCTGCAGTGTCCCTGCCAAAAAGTCACAGCCCACATCAAATCAGGAGGAAACCTCAGGTCTACCAGACTGAGGGACAGCCTCCCGATAAACAACCTAGAACACTCAGACATGACAAGGCCATGGAAGTCAAGAGAAGACCAAGGAGATTCCGCCAGAAGGAGACGAGGAGACATGACCAAATGCAACAGCCAATTCTGAACCGGCTGCTCTAGGTGCCCATGTAGGACTTGTTGGGACAACTGACAAACCTGCAGAGGTCTGAGGTTTAGATGGTAGAAAGGCACTAACACCAGCAGATACCACGATGGTTACATCACTGGATTCCCACGTAGTTGACTGCAGTTCGAATCCCGGATCTGACAGCTTAAAACTCATGCCGGGTGCGTGTGCATGCATGCCCAAAATCCCGAGAGGAGAATGGAGGAGAAGAGACTATGGCATGGTCATCCTCCGGGGGTTGATTTCTTGCTTTCTGTGTCTCTTTCTCCAGTAAATGTACACACTCTATAGCAAAAATCTCTCAAAAAAGGAGGAGAAAGAGGAGGAGGAAAGAAGAAGAAGGTAAGAGGCCTCTTTCCTGACTTTGACAGTTGTGCCAGGTTAGGTAGGAAAAAGTCTCCTTGTAGAAAAATTGGGAAAGTATTGGGTGGTCAGAAAAGTCATTACATATTTTTCCATTTTTCTATGCAAAAATGCATCATGACTTTTCCGACAATCCAATAATAAGAGATAACTGGGCATCAGTTCATCAACTTATACCCAAATTGTTCAGGGGGGAAAAAAAGTTATTTGCACCATGTTGACACCTTTTCTGAAATTTCAGAGACATGCAGGGGGCAGATAGTGACACAGTGATAAATATGACATTTTGCAAGGTCGACCCATGCCAGAAGGTTTTGAGTTTGCCTTAGGGGAGCTAGACTTCTCTGGGTACACTGGAAACGTGTGTGCCCATGACCTGGGGCTGGCTGAGGCTGGAGGTGGACTGCATCATCAAAACCCTATCAGAGATGCTGACTCTGTCTCTCTCACTCAAGATTAAATAGAAAGATTCATAAAAGCAAGAAATGAAAACTCTTAAAAAGAGAACGAGAGGAGCAGCCAGGTAGAGATGGCAAGAGATAGGGGCAGCAGAGACAACTGCCCAGGGTAGAGGTGAAGGGAGCAGAGGACAGGGAAGCCCGGCTGGGAGCCCAGCAGTGTCCCCTGGTGGCTATGGGGGGTCAGCAAGACTGGGCTGGGCAAGTCCAGTAGCCACCCTGCTAGATTCCCATATTCCTGAGAGCTGGGTTCTAGGAACTGCAGCAGGGGTGAGGTGGGAGTGGAGGGGCAGGGGGACTGCCCAGCTCCAGGCCCAACTCCGTGTCCCCTGTCCCACAGGAAGGGGCAGGTATGTCTCCTCCATTCTCAAGGTCTCGCCCCCTTGCTTCCCCATCTCTGGTCCAGGTTATCTGCCTCCACATTGATCTCCATCACACACATTCCAGGAAGGGGCCCAGCCCAGGCTCAACCGCAGAGGGGACTTAGGGTTCAATTTAAGGGCCAGCTGGGGGAGACAAGCAGGAAACCCTAAATCCAGCCCTCCCAGTCCTACTCCAGCACCCCTCCCAAGCCTGCCCCACCCTTCTAAGTCAGGCTTAGCTTTGGGGTCATTTAGCACCCCCAAACTTTCCTCCCCACACCTGAAATCTAGCCCTTTGCCCAAGCCCAAGAAAATTAGTGTGTCCCTAAGCACAGTAGAGGTAGTGGAGTCTCCCAAAAGTAAACAGACTAGCAGCAAGTGGAATCTTCTAGATGTTAAGCAAACACCCAGGCTTCCCTCCAGACACTGGTTTGCCCCCCCCCCTTCCCCCTGCCTGTACAGCCCCATAAAATCTGAGTTTACAAAATGTCAGCCCCGGCAGGCCTGGTGGGCAGGGTTGGGGT